GGCTGGCCGAGAAAGGCGCACCTCCAGCCTTCTCCGCAACCGGGAGAAGCCCCCTCCCTTTTGCAAGGTCGCCCCCTCCCCGCTTTTGGGGTGGGGGAGAATTGAGAGAGAGAGAGAGAGAGAGAGACAAACACACACACACACAAAGAGGAGAGGGGAGCCGGCCGGCCCACCCGTTTCCCCCTTTCCCTGCGCGAGCGTGTGTGGATTTCCCCCCCCCCCTTTTTTTCTGCCCGCCTCTCTCGCCCGCCCGCCCGGTCTGAAAAATGTGTGTGCTGAAAAATGCCCCCTCGGCTTATACGCGAGTCACCATTTTTCCCCAGTTCTTTGAGGAAAAATAGGTCCCTCGGCTTATATTCGGGTCGACTTATACTCGAGTATATACGGGTAATATGAATTTTGTCATATTAACATCTTGTTTGGATTTTGCAAGAGTCCTTTAGAAAGTTAGATGTTCCTGCAAACAGAATATAGACTAATTTGTTCAGACAGTATCAACAGATTCAGTGAAGAATTGTGTGAAACAGGATTGCAGAACACAACTCCTTCTTCAGAGGATTGTTTGTTAATGAAGAAAATCCTATTCCTCCCGTTCGTCTTCTCCCCCATTGAGTTAGGTCTTGCAATAAATGATGTGAAGAAAATTATTCAGTTTCTTCTCTTTCAGATCATTTCTGTGTTTCACCATTTTACAATGTTGCATTTTTTAGCAGTTTTGTGGAGGCATGGTAAACGCTGTTAGCTATCTTGCATGTTGCATGTATCCATTACAATCTTTTTTAGAATGTATCTGTCACGGGGCCATGAGTCATAACTATCTCTCAGCTCATTTGCATTAATTATTTATCTGGTTATTTTAATGGTTTGCATTATTTTGGTTCACCAGCACATAGATTATTGCTTTTTTCATTAAAGTTGGATTCCATATTCTGTCCCAGTCTCTGCATATGTTTTTCTTGTTTATATGCCTCTGTGTATTTGTGTGTTAAACTACTCATCTCAGCAAGTGCAAAATTAATAATAAATAAATCTTGATGCTATAATATACCATGTTTCCCTGAAAATAAGACCCACCCAGAAAATAAGCCCTAGACTGATTTTTTGGCTTGCGCCTAATATAAGCCCTTCCCCCCAAATAAGTCCTAGTTAAGAGCCCAATGAAATGTGTATTTAGAAGGCAGATCAGAACGCATTCAGCCACACATGGAGATAAAAAAAAGATAATGGGCAAAATAATTTTACTTATTCATTGGATATTTTCTCCAAATTCAAAACCAAAAAAAAAAAAAATTTACATATTGCTGTTCATGGTTAAATAAAGAATTTCTTTATGAAAATTTGCTTGTGTATTGACCAGATGGAACAGATTTAAAAAGCTGGTCTCTTCTTCATCATGCTCTCCTAAGTAAAATAAAATAAAAAAAAACAGATTGAACAATACATATTTTTATTTGACATATAGATGTTGCTTAGTTTGAAAATCCCAAGCTAACAGATAACATTTTATTTCATCAATATATTTCATCAATATATTGATGAAATTAATATCATCAGGAATTATGTATGAGTGACATGTTATTAAAACATGAATCATATTTACTTCTCTTGGTTATTTTTTATCTGATTCTATTTATTTAGACTATACTGGTTGTATTTATTTTAAATACATAATATTTGTTTGTATTGAAAATACATAAGATTTGTTATATAAGCCATAGCTCTTAAACTTAAAAAACCCCATAAAATCTTTTTTTTTTTTTAAGAAATGCTGATTGACATTTCCAGAAATCCAGTTTTAATGTTATATTCTCATTGGAATTCTGATATGCAAAAATATGCATACTGTACAGTGCAGTCGTGCATGTATTTTAAAAAGAAAATATAAGAAAGAAAATCTGTCTTGGAAGGAAACTGCACAAATCAAAGGCAAGGCATTTCAGTAAATATATCAAGGCCAAATTATGTGACTATATGATTAAATTTCAACTGAAAATGAGAAATGAGATGATCTTGGTGGCCTCTTTCTTGTGGCATAGGGTTGGTTTTTGACAGGATCATAGAACATGGAGAAAGAATTAAACCAGTGCTTCCCAAACCTTCTCTTTCAGTATCCCAAACCACTTATTTGAAAGTCCTTTTTACTCAGTGTAGATAAAATACTTTAAGTCAGTTTAAATGTCCCTGTTGATATTGAGTAACGGGTTCACATGCTGTTATCCAAAGAAAAAGTACTTTTACCCAATTTTGGGTAATTTACCCAGGTCTGGGAAGTAGTGGATTGAACCTTTACTGTACTCCTCTTTCAGTATGATTTTAATCCTAACCTCTTTACTCATAATATCTATGAGCATATCTAAAAGCAAAACCTAACTATATACTGCCTGGAAGATTCAAAGAATCACGATTAAGGTGCGATTATAGTAATTGGATTTCTTACCAGATATCACCATCTGTAGAGCATCCATGATAATTTGTGCAAAGGCATTCTCTATGCTCTGCAAAAAAACATTCTTTTCAGTTGAGAGATTGAAAACATTGCAGACTTTCTGCATCATTTTTACAGACCAGTCCATGCAATAGAGGTCCTTCTCGCATACCTGGTGGAACAGAAACCAACAAAATGAAATGTCCTTGATGGTAAAAAAAACCCAGTTCTTTGTTCCTATCTTTGTGCTTTTCAATCCAAAATAATTCCATGGAAGTTTTGGGTTGAAAAGACATACACACAAACATGCATATGTAAATATAGTAATGGCAGCTTTCAAAGGGCTAGAATCTTTAAATTGTTGTTTTCTTGGCTTCTGATGATTTGACTTTTCTTTACTTTTACTTTTTTTTTTTACAAAATGTAGCTTAAACTAGATAAAGTGGTATATTTTTGCTGTTTAAGGATTCCGTGTGATTCATCCTGACTCTGTCTGTATAGCTTTCCAACTAGAGGCACAGTCCTGATAGCTGAGTATCCCTGCCTCCTATCAAATAGTATTATAATTGCCACCCAGCAAGCACAAATAATTTCCAGGTAATTTTAAACCAATGGCATTTTACCCATGTATAAGGTAATGAATGATACGTCAAGGTAACAAATACAGTATCATAAATAGTAATATACAGTATTGCTGTTTGGTGCTTAAAATGTCTATGCTTCCATTGGAAGAGTTACCTTCTGCCACTTCCTGGGGTTTCATTATAGCATGGTGATAGCATGATTAGGAAAAGGAAGCCTGACTTCTGGAATAACAGCATCAACAGTTTGGAAGACACTAAAAATATTTGGAGACTGGAGAATTATTCTTAGTGGAGTTGTGGAGAGAAATGGGAGGAGTGTATGCCCCCTTGAGCTTCTAAGGAAAAATAATGCACAACCTAACGAAATGATTTATTATCCCTGTCTCTGGTGAAATGTGGGAGGAATGTGAGTCTAGATACAGACTTAAATAATGGGAGAAGGCACAGTTACTGATGCTAATTGGCTTATAGTTCTTGGTGTTTGGCTATTGGTCTAAAATGGCAAGTGATGATTGACTTGAGGTGTTTTCTGAGAACTATAAACTGACAAGCAAACATATAAGTTTGTCTCATAGCTCTGATGAAAATTACATATGTTAGTCTTGGATGGACTGGGGGAGACATGTAGCAAACAATGCCTGTTGATTATGCGCCATCAAGCCATGTTGACTCTTAGTGACCACACAGATTTTTTCCCCCCAAAATGATCTGTCCCTAACCTGGCCTTTCATGTCTTCCAATATTGCATTCATCACCTGTATAACTTAGGCTGAGTGGAGATGTGTGTGTATGCGTGTGTGTGTGTGTGTGTGTGTGTGTAGAAAAATAATTGCCTTCATTTAGGCATAGGAAGATAAGGTAAACCAAGAATTCCTTGAAAATACTACCAATAGCTTTGCTAAGTCACACTAACAAATGCCAGTTTTCAAATAATTTTTTTCATCCCAGTGTCTGAAACAAAACAGCTTAACTTCCCAAACCAGTAGATATCAGGAGGTCAGGCAAGTTCAGAGCTGACTTTGAATTGGTGCAAGAAAAACCCTCACAGAGAAATGCTCTCAGCTGTTACAGTGCATTCATTCTACTTAATATACACATAAAAAGATCTTAAGTTAAAACATTTCTCTTTTCCTATACAGTAATTAAAGCTATAGGATTCCTGCAGTCCCCCCCACATGGCTCACAATCTGAGAAAAAGCAAGAAGATGGCCGTGTAATCTGTATCAATGTATGATGCTAATGTTAATAATACTGTAAAGTGCTCTGATAAATATAATGCAAGCGAATGAGGACGTTTTGACACATCTGATGCCTCAAGTTAGGTATACTGGTTCTGCCTGCCTGTCCACTAATTACATCAGGCCAAGAAGTTAGGTAAGCATGGCAAAATCCCAAATGTCCTATTCCTTCAAGGACTGCTGTAATGGAAGTTTAATAAAAATACTTTCACTATTCACATATAAATTGACATTATACAAGTAGCACTAAAAGAACTGCATTTATGCACATGCTGCCATAGAAACACTCCTAAAGCAAGGTAATTAATTTGAAGTATTTTCAGACATATATTAATTTGTCTCTTTTAAAATGTTATTCTGGTTAGTTAATTTTAGCAAATTGCCTGAAACTGCTAAGGAAGAACTGGTATCTAAGGGTGAAATTAAATAAGACATCAAATACGTCATTGTGCTGAACACGTTTAAGACTTTAATCATGTTTAAAGAACACCGGGGAGAGGGGATCCAAATAAGAGTACACAAGAATTTAAATTCTTATTAAAAATTATTTCACTCAAAAGAGTTATTGGCTCTGGAACTAAATTTCTTTTATTCTACATGCCAAATTATAGTTCTTCCCTATTGGAGATGGAAGATTTTCAGTTAAATTGTATGGAGCAAAGAAAAGAAACTAAAATAGAAAAGAAAGAAAAAAGAGTCAGGTGCCAAATACTGTTCTCTCATCCTGATTATTTTTATTCACAGCAGTTATTCTTTCACAGAAATGTACAATATACGTTAAAAGCAGTCACTTACTTTGAGTGCGTGTGGCCCATTTATAAGTCATAACATAGAGAAGAGAATACTACATAGAAAGGGAAAATATCTGTTAATTACCAGTGCCAAGAACACCACCAGTCTTGCCAATTCAACAGCTCGGCCATTCACAGCTTTACTAGCCATAAATGGGAAGCAGATGTTCTTTCCACACAAAATGAGAAATCGAGCAGTGTTTTCGAGATGCCATTCCTGAGGGATTACTATAAAAATAGAAAAAAAGATTTTATATATATACAAGCACAAACATAAATCCTGCAGACACATATGCATGCTTAACTTTTAACTTTAATTTTCTTACATTTGAAAATATTATTTCAAAATAGGCAGAACACAACTCCAATTTATCTAATCCACAAGACAAGCAGTAAAAAACATTCACTACTTTGGATTTTCAAAGGGGTTCAGTGATAAAACTATAGTACTTTTAAGATTTAGTTTCTGTGCTTTTCAGTGGATAATACAACGAGCAAGAGTACTATGAGAACTAAGAGAGTTCAACCACTTGTTCTTAAAAACCATGTCTCATGGCTTGTTAAAGTGGCTGGAAGGTGTCAGATGAAGAGGTTCTAGCAGTGGTTAATTCTTCTTTTGAGTGAGGGGTTTTTCTTTTATCTCTTAAGAAGGACTTTGTTTTTAACCTTTCCTGTAGAAGCCATCACTAGACCCAACCATACCGGACAATTTACTTCCATTATCTAAACTTCCTTTTCAGGGGAAAGTGATCAGAAAGGTGGTTGCACAACAGCTTCAGAGGACCATGGATGAAATGGATTATCTGAATCCTTTTCGGTCAGGATTCAGACCTGGGTATGGGATGCAAATGGCATCGTTCACACTTTTACATGACCTCTGGAAAAGATGAGATGGGTTTGTGCATCCAGCTTGCCCTACTTGACCTCTCGGTGACTTTTGATACCATCAACCATGGTGTCCCCTGGAATGAGTCAGAGGATTGGGGGTCAGCGGCACAGTGTTATGCTGGTTTCTCCGCTTTCTCTGGGGTCAGTTCCAGTCTTGTGACTGGGGAGAGATGTCCCATCCTTAGCCTCTACTTTGTGGGATGCTGTAGGATTCAGTGCTCTCTTCTATTTGACATCTACAAGACACTGCTGGATGAATTCATCTCTTATCATGGGGTGATGTACCCTCCATACACTGATGATAGTCTCTGCCTCTGGCAAATTATGCAATGCTGTAAATCCCAGGAGGCTGTGAGGATCTGCATAGGAAACAATAGGTTTCAACTAAACCCTGGCAAGACTGAGTGGTTTTGGATTTGGTTCTCAGTCTTGCCATCTTTAATGCTGGATGAGGTTGCACTGCCCCAGAGAGAGCCAATGTGCAATCTGGGGATCCTCCTTGACTCATTATTCCTGCTCAAAGAGCTTTCTGTTGTGTACCAGTTGCGCCTGTTCCTAGATTGGGAGGCTCTGCTGACAGTCACCCATGCCTTAGACACCTCCAAACTTGATTACTGTAATACACTCTATGTGAGGCTGCCCTTGAAGAATTTCCAGAAGCATAATGGTGCAGAATGCCAGAACACAACATATCATACCTCTGCTCTATGAACTCCATTGGCTGCCCATTTGCTTCTGGATCTAATTCAAGATAGGTTTTAACCTTTAAAGCTCTTCATGGCATGGGGCCAGGTATTCTGAGGGACTGCCTCTCCCTGATTACATCAGCTGTCCCATTAGATCTGGGAGAAAGGACATTTGGTGGGTACCATCATTGCATTTGATGGGTCCCAGGAGGTGGGTCTTTTCTGTTGTGGGGCACTGGCCTTATGGAACATTCTCTCACCCTTCCCCCAAGTCAGGTTAGCTACATTCCTGTTAATCTTCTGGAAAATCACGTGATTTCCCACTTAGTGATCACCTCACTTAACGATAGAACTGCTGGTCCCAGTTGTGGTTGATACATAAAGACCTGATGATATCTTGGATTCAAGTGTGCAAACAAACCTGCAAGCTCATCCACCAGACTGATGACATCATTCGCTGTCCACTCCTTTGCTTCTGTATCATATAATAGTTTAACAGCATCTGCCAGGTCTTTCAAACTATTTTCATCTGTTGGGCCTTGAATCATATTCTGCCAATCAACATATCCTGAATGATATTAAGCATAAGAGTTACTGAAGGAGAATTTGTCTTGAGATATTAATTAGCCATACTACCTATTTCTTGAGATTTAAAGAAAGGCAATTCTAGATTCAAAATTAATAATTGCTATCTTGCTAGAAAATCATTTTCTGTATGCTTAATATTCTACTTTCTTTCCTATTTTCAGGCTCCTAGCTTACCATCCAGTGTACATGCAGGTCCAAATATAAGGAACAGCAGCCGAGCTTGATTTACTATTGGCCATGGCTTTAAAATACAGGTCAGCCAAAATATCAAATCACTCCGATTAGTCCAATAGTTTAGAAGTACATTGCGGCAAAATGTCCTTATCCTCAATTCCAATTTACGGAAAATTCCTAGACAAATTAATAACATTTAGGTATTAGTCTTGCATTTAGAGTTTTCTAATGATAAAACCCTGTAAATTGTGTGAAAGATAATTATTTTGGATGGTACTGCTACAAGTTTAAAGTCAGTAGTCAGTCACTATTGCTTTCTCAGTTATTAAGGACGTCACAAGACACAAAAGTTCAAATTTATAACACGCTCACAAACACGGATTATTTACCAGGCTTGCTGTTGACAACTCTCTGCATTCTCTGAGATAAACTATTAAGGTCACAGAGAAAATAGTAAACTCGCTGACATTCAAATTCATCCCAACCGGCTGTTAAGGTCTGAAAACATACAAAATAAGCCAACAGAAATATAAACAATAATATTTTAGAATTTGAAGACAACATATGATACAATTGTTTTATTTCCCTCTTTTTGTAATATGAAATTTAATGAACGTGGTCAGTAAGAAAGTGCAGAAGATGATTTATCTTGGGATACAGAAACAGCCCACCAAATAATAAGATCTGCAATGTCTTTACCCAATGTTCAACAGAATGAAACTTTAGAATATATAGCTGTAGAATAAAGTTTATACCGCATGCAGTAATGGACTCTTAATAAGCAAAGACTTATGCCATAATAAATACATTTATTTTTAAAGCGTTACAAAGGTCTCAGTTGCTTTTACCTGTAAAAATACTCCATAACATTGTAATCCCAAACAGTGCAAAGAATCTGAGCAGCCATTGAATTTGAAACAGGAAATCTATAAACAAGCAGTAGAAAAAAGTTATCTTTTAATTTACTTATGTTGTTCAATGGGATATAGAAATTAACAGATCCAATATTTCTTGGAAAACATCTATGCTTACTTCTGAAAGTATTTTGTGTATATACTTCAGTCTCTCTTTTGTAGGGAGCAATAAAGTGCACCTTTTAAACAATAAGCCTAGAAAGAAAAAACAGAAAGAAAAATCATGCAGAGTTATTTGAAAAAAGCTTTTGTGAAGATGCTTTCCAAAACCTGTAAACTATATTGAGTTAAGAATCAGGAGCCCATTTTGTTTCAAATTAGAGCTGCAAAAATATTGACAACTACCAGGTGACAGCAAAAACAGAAAGATATTTCTTTTTGCCATCTAAAGATTGTTTAGACTTTTGCAGCCCAAATTTAATAGCTCTATTTTTAATGGACTGTGATTAATCTTATTCATGCTGAATATAGTGCTTATGGTGAATATAGTGCTTATGGGCAGCTAGATAGGTTTACCAGGAGGAGGAAATCATTCAAATCCCACAAGATCTTGTCCAGTGTACCTTTTGCTAATTTAAGCTTACAGTAGATACTCCATTACCAACCTATATTTCTTTTCCAGTGCATCACTGAATATGTTCAAATAGAGACTCAACAGCCATTTTTTCATCTATACTTTAATTTGGATTTCTACAATGAGCAGGGAACTTAAATTCAACAGCCCAAATGGCTCCTTCCATTTAATGATTTAAGCTCTCAGAATTTAAGCTCTGAGCAAAAATAATTCCACATATCTACTTTTGTACAAAGCATCCTACAGGTCCTAAATGAACATTTGCTATTTGCATTAGAAGCTTTAATTTGATTTGTTACCATATATTTCAGATGAATGAAAGGATTTAAATATTCGGTTAAGCTGCAGTACTTGGTTTCCGAAGTTATGTATTTTTCAGACTTTCCCTTTAGTGGTTGAACCGAGAAGTGAAGCTCAGGGAAGGAAAACGGATGTTAGAACCTCTTCCCAGACTTCTCCAGATATTGCCAAGGCTAATGTTGCTTCAAAACTGGAAGCCCAAAAATGAGACAAGATATTTAATCCAATCCAATACTCTTTCATATAATCTCTCCCCATCAAGTCAACTCCAAAACTCTAAATGAAGAAGTGAGGAAAAATCAAAGTTCCCCTCTTCAATTCTATTTAGTTTATGTTGACAGGTTCAAATGTTCATATGACAGCTTATGCTTCCTAAGGGACAGAACCAAATTTCTCCATATGAATAGTTTTATGGATCATTCTATGAAAATGAAATTTCTGATGCTTCTTCCAATTTTGATGTCTTGAAACCTGAATAGCAAAATATCTTGAAAATAAATCTTGTTTTAAAAGGCCCTATACATAACATCCAGATCTTGAAAACAAGATGATGTCACTCTTCTAGTAATAATTACAAAGATGTCCGCAAAGAAGGGGTAAAAAAAGGGAAGATGTTAGCCAAAACCATATGATCTGAGCACATTCCTTTTCTGTGTGTGCTTTGTTCTGATGGTTGTGATTGCCATCTTGATTTTTTGATACCTTTGGATAAGTATTAAGCATATTCAAGTTGAAAGAAAATTGGAACTTGAAAATATAAATCACAACTACTATTTTTTTCTTTTAAGAAAAGAGATTTTTCAACCATTTTTCCAAGCCATTACAAAGGAAAGAACATTTAAAAGTTGTTTAAAACACACACAGGGAAGGTGTTAAAATGGATGTATTTTGGTATTCCAAGATTTAGAATTTGTCTCTGTGAAAACTTATAATCTTATAATGTTATATAATTCATAATTTTATAATATACTAGCTGTACTCAGCCACGTGTTGCTGTGGCTCAGTCTGGTAAAAGCGTGTGTTGCTTTTACGTCCAACAGATGGCACTGTTTTTCAAAAAAAGCATGTTTTACCTGTCACAGGTAAAACATCTACATAATATAGGTATATAAAAACACGCGCGTATTTGAATGCAACGTTGTGTCAAAATTTCAAAGCAATCGGTGAAGAACTTTCGGAGATTTAAGATTTTGAATAAACGAACATTTACATTTTTATTTATATAGATATAAAATTGTCTAGATATTAGAAATATATCTAATGCAGAAGGGGAGAAAGGGCAAAGTAGGCTACGAGGGATAACATTTTGGAAACATATTTTTTTTCAGATCAGAATTGAGAATTAATGCATGATCCATTAATGGTAATGGATCCATTAATGGTAATGGTTTTAGAGAAGAGGAAGATCTAAGTCATAATATTCACTAATTCATGTTGCTATTCCAATAAGACTAAATTAAATCATGACCTTTTATACCACTTTAAAAATATTAATTCTGATCTCATTACAATCTACCTACCGGTATATATAACTCTTATGGTCATTTTCTTATAGATTAATTTAATAAAGAGTAAAGGTGTAAGAAGAGATTAGTGGGAAAGATGCGTAAATATATTTATAGTTAGGACTACCGTAGTTAAGTCTGCCATATTCTGTGCTTCAGAATTATGAAATGATGTTAGTATACATCTGCTCTGGGAAAATTTGGTTTGTGTCACAACTACCATATCTAGATTACAAAACTATAAAACCAGTAGATTGCAAAGAGGTTTGTCTTCATTTTTATGGCTGAAATGATATTCAGTACTGCTCATGAACTATATGGACATAATATAGTTATCTAGCAAAAGTTAATTAAGTACTAAATCTTTGGGACTAATATTAATCTTCCTAGATTAGTTGTGGAGTTCTTTAACTGCTTTATTTATCTGTCTATTGAAAAAAAAGATAAAGGTTTCCCCTGTCCAGTATGTCCAACTCTAAGGGGCAGTGCTCATCTCCATTTCCTAGTTGAGGGAGCCAGTGTTATCTGAAGATGCTTCCGTGGTCATGCGGCCGGTATGACTGAGATGCACAGAAAACTGTCACCTTCCCATCAAACCTATTTATCTATTTGCATTTACATGCTTTCAAACTGCTAGATTGATAGGAGTTGGGGCAAGTAATAGGAGCTCACCCTATCATGCAATGCTTGGGTCTTGAATTACCAACCTTCTAGTCAACAAAGCCCAGTCATAATCGCTAGGCTACCGTGCTCCCATTATATCTATATTAAATGCCAAATGCAAGCTGATAACCCTCCACTTTGGCTCCATATTGCATTACCTATATCTACTGTTCTGTGTTGATGCTATAGAAATGAAATCGAAGCATTTAATTCTTTTCAAAATCAAACTGGTAACTAGTTTGCATTGGACTATAATTGTGTTCACAAAAAATGCTTCTCTAAATTAACCTATTTTGGGAGATTCCACAATATATTGAATCATACACTAACCATACAAAGGCTTCTCACTGTAAAATAAGCCTAAATCAATCAATCAACATAAAAAATAAAGCTATCACTAACTGGTGAAGTATGGCATATGCAGATTCATAGGGACATTGGTTATTTATTGCATTTATTTATTGCATTTATTTATTGCATTTATTTATTTATTTATTTATTTATTTATTTATTTATTTATTTACTTATTTAATTTGAATGGCCTAGTAATCCAATTTTACCTTTATCCCAAGACCCACATGGTCTTTTTTCATTCCTAGACTATAATTTACATAGGTATAATACTTCTGCTTTCTTTCAACCAACACAATTCCATGATGTTTAAAAAAGGAAAGTAAGCATATATGTGAAATCAACCTAGCCTTGTTTGTGATTGGCAATTTCCATGGTCTGTTGCATTTAAATGAGGGAAGTGAATACTTTAAGTGGGAGGATGGGACAGAGATGCCATTGGTTATTCATTAATTGATCAGCATCCTGAAAATATTAATCCACCCTCCATGTAGATAATATATTTTGTTAGCCTGCTGAAAAACATAAGGGATAATGTTGAAAATGAAAACTATAAATCATTATGCCAACAAGATATCATATAGCTACAGTGAAAGCTGGGTTTTGTCAAAGTTCGGTTTTATGGAAATGCTCAGAGTGAAAAGGCTGCCGCTGCAGATAAATGAAAAGAGAAGCAGGGGGAAGATTGCAGAAAACCAGTGACAAAGACAGAATAAATTGCATGGAACAGAAAAGAAAAAGAAGCTGTAGTAACTGGGATGATAAACCCTGGCAAAAATTCTGAAAACATCCAAAGAGATATGTTGGACATGATCATAATAACAGTATGGAAAGATTACTTGGCAAAGACTCCATAAATTTTGTAAAGCAATACATATTTCAGATTTCTGTTCCCATTACATGCCACTCCCCGACCTCCAAACTTAAAATAAGAGTGTTGCATGGGAGAAGTTAACTCTTGTGCTATATTTAACTATTGCAGTTCCCTTTTCCGGATCTATTTGTCCTACAGTAGAATTCAGACATAAATGAAAATATAAATATACATTTGAAATTTCACAGGATTTCACAAGAGCACCAAGAGTATTACAGCAAAAAACAGAGAGATGGAAAGGCACGATTAAGATTCTCATTGTTTCACATACACTATCAGTGATATTTTCATAGACTACAAATCTACTGATCATTAAAAATAAAATATCAGTTCATAATAATACAAATACAAAAAACACAGAGCAGTTGGGAGAAATTACAATTCCTTTCCTGTTATAAATGTATTTTCTAAGAAATTATTTCTTGTATTTATGATCAAGTTAATTTTTATGCACTATATTAATCTAGACACTGATTTGACATGCACATGAATTTTCTACAGTGAAACATTTTTCCTGTCTTGCAATATTCTTGTTAATATTCTGTTAATTGAAAGGATGCGATTTGAAGCTGAGCATTCTTCAATTAGCTGAAATTTATATATATTAATACATTTTTCTATCTGGTTAGACTCCTGTTTTGGAATATCTGAAAAGGACAAGGATTTGATTACCTAATGATCTGTAGTGTTCCACAATGGAGGATCCTGTACTGTCAGATTGTTCATGGTTATGGAAATCCTGTGGAAAAAATCTCCTATTTCCAGTAGGACTTGAGATGTAATTAACAACACGGTCGCTGATAGTCTTTGATACCATACTTATCATGCTGATATCTGCCACTGAATAAAGAAGAAAAAGAAAAATAATTCTTAGGTTTTATTCACTTGGTGTTTCTTTTTCTTTTATTCATCAGACAAGTTTGGGACTGCTCTTAAGCCAAGATAGATACATGGTCATACACATAATTGTGTATGTATGACCTTTTCACATATAGGTAGGAACTCGATTTTTTAAAAAAGGTTAAATCTTATGTGAATAACAAAATCTTTCATGTTTTTGATATTGTCATGAGATTTCAAATAAGATTTTTTGATGAGCCACAGTTATAAAAATAGACAGGGTCAATACAAAAAAAATAAATTAATGTAATCAAAATGCCCCATTTACTAATGTAGTTCATCTCCATCTGCATATACCAGCCATTCTCTTTCTCATACACGTTATATTCTTGTTTTCTTAATAATTTTTTTAAGAAAAAGAAATTCTCAAACACAGAAACATATAAGAACATGCATTCCTCTCCCTTCAATAGGAGTCTATGAGCGACTTCCGGTTTGAGTTCCTGTGCTGATGGCGGCTTTCCCTTTCGCCGCCTGCCCCGAGGACGCGCAAAAGCCGCAGGAGCAGCGTCAAACAGCTGCTCCGCGGCTTGGAATCCCCTTCCCCGGGCAAAGGGGAGGGGGGAGAGCCTCCCTGATAGGGGTAGAACTCCCTAACTCCCACAGTTTTATAGCTGTGGGGGTGGAGGTGAGTTCCCCCGGAGTCAGGGACTTCTCCGCGCTTTGGGCTGCCTCCATTCTACGAACGAAGCCAGACACGGACTCAACCTCTGCTTATGGGAGCAGACAGAGTGATCCAGGTGATCCAGGTGCTTGGGAGTGGCATGGATAAGAACCTTCAGCTCTGATTTTAATAACTTCTCCATTAAGACTTAAAGTTTAAGAAGAAAAAAAAAAGAGAAAAAATGGCCGCGGAAGGGCGTTTTGCTCTTTAATAGAGACTTTCACTTATTGAGGACTTTCACTTTGGCTTTTATTTTCTGCTGGACTATTATTGCCTTAGAGTTATTGGTATTGAAGGTGAGCAAAATATCTGTTTTTGCTTTTTGTGGCAGTTTCAAGAAAACTTTAATGGACATTGTATTATACAAATTAAATTTGAGAAGAAGGGAAGAGAAAGTAAAATGGCTTCAAAGCGTGGGGGAACTTTTCCTCCTCCTCAGAAAGGTTTGAGCT